CAGCGTGACCATGTCAACAACTGAGTGAGCGCCTCTCTTATCTCCGGCATCCTCTGCCCGCTCGCTTTCTTCTCGCTCTGTGTCCACCTGTTTTTTTCCCCTCCTTCATTGTTCGTCTCTGTTTACTCTTTTCCTTTAGGTTTCGTAAGCTATTTTATCTCTCATTCACCCCTTTCATTTGCTCCTCTGATCCGCAACACCTCTCTCTCTCTCTCTCTCTCTCTCTCTTTCTGTGTGTTCTTTCTATTCTCCAAATCAAGTCTACTGTGACGGTGTCTGCGATGAACCAGATAAAAATCTACCTAACAGAATGCGTATGCAAAAAAATGTCTTTTGCATCTGCAGGATGTTTTGGTACTTTTGTTCGTCTGTTTTCCGGTGTGTGTGTCTATATTGTCTACCTGAGGAGAAAAAAAAAAAACTCTCTTAGCAACGGCTTGTGTCTGTGTTTTGTTTTGGCTGAAGGACATGTTAAAGGAAAGCTGTTAAATGAAGCTCATTCAGCAGTGTCGGCCTCCTAATGTGGACTTGTCCATTAGTTGTTTTTTCCAGAATCGCCATTGCAGGAACAAAACAAACCTTTTATACATGTTGGCATGCTGTGGTAAAGTAAAAGACGTGATGTAATGCTGAGTTCTGGTTTTGCTGGGAAGTTATGAGTTTGGAGATTGTAATTGCTGTATCACATGATGTAAGTTTGAGTGATTTCAGACAGAATAGAATGGACTGACAGGACAGTCATCATATATATTCATCTCTATATGACCTTTTTGACAAAACCGCAATGTTTTTATGTGCTAATGGAACAATGTAGAGCAAAGGATGCTTATTATATGTATCATTAAGGCTTGGTCTGAATTTCAACTGTAGTTTGGCAGGAGAGAATGATTAGTGCACAAGTTTAGCATTTTACAGTAATTTCTAAAGGATCTTTATTGATGCAAAAAATTTAGCTTGGACATTAAAGGAATAAATGACATTTTAAGATATATTCACTTGGAAAATAGTTATAACAAATTGTGATTCTCCTTTCGGTGTACATGTTACTGGCAATGTGTGAAATCTGGCATGCCTAGGAAATGAATCGAATAGCTAAAACCGAATGTCAAAGGATGGAATAATTGCTACTTTATACATTGCCTAGGCATTCTATTGAATGCAGTATGTAACTGGCCTACCCCCGCCATTTTTCCCGCCACTGATGTTGGAGGTGGCACTTTGGTCATTGTTTGATGTAGCCGATCGAAGCATGTGAGTGTTGAACGTTATTGTAAGACAGCATATTGCCAACGAGGTTACGAGGTTCCACTACACCACATCACAGATAATATTGTAACAGATAATTCAATCTCAATTCTGCTGTCATTGTTTTTTTTTTGTAAGAACATCATACAGAAATGCTTTATTTCGTATTCCTTCCACTTTAAAATACGTAATGTCAATAAAGGCTTTTGTTGTGCTCTTCTGACAGTTTGCCTAAATGATATTTGTCATTCTATATAATGCATTGGAATTGAATGCCTAGGAAAAGTATAAAAAATCTTTACAAAAAACTTATATTTCATATTTTGCCTAAAAACATTAGCCGTTCTATACATTTCCTAGGTGTTCTATACAATTCCGAGATTTCACACATTGCCCGTAGCATACATAAATACACTACCTGACAAAAGTCTTGTTGTCGATTCCAGTTGTAAGAGCAACAAATAATAACTTGACTTCTAGTTGATCATTCAAAAAAGTGGCAGAAGGTAGATTTTTCCTATGAATTATCTATTAAACTGCATCTCACACATCACATCTCACATCATCACATATACTGCAGAAGACCTATTGGAACCCGCATGGACCCAAGATTCTCATTGAAATCCGTCAAATTTGTTGATAGAAAAATCATGGTTTGGGTTTACATTTAGTATGGGGGCATGCAATAGATTTGCTGGGTGGATCATCAACAGCCTGAGGTATCAAGACATCTGTGCTGCCATTACATTACAAACCAGGAGAGAGGGCAAATTCTCCAGCAGGATAGCGCTCCTTCTCATACTTCAAATCAAAGTTCCTGAATGCAAAGAAGGTCAAGGTGCTCCAAGATTGGCAAGCCCGGTCACCGGATATGAATACTATTGAGCATGCCTGGGGTAAGATGAAGGAGGATAATCCAAAGAATCTTGATGAATTCTAGAAGTCCTGCAAGAACAGTTTTGGTAAAATAAGTATAATTTAAAGGCCTTTACCTTTCATATAAGCCACTTTTGATACCAAACGGTTAACTAGATATCAAGTTATACTTTTGATTAAAGCAGCATTTTTAAAAGAGACCTCTTTCACAAACAAATAAAATTCCTTTACTGACCTTAATTAATTTATTTTTTTTACCAGCATTCCACTTACTATTCACTATACTTTAAAACTAAAAACTCCAAAAAGCCAACAAGTCTCAACCGCTAATACTTCAGCTGTGTTGAACCCAAAAAATTCCTTTTAAGTTGTGTGTGTGTGTGTGCATGGGTGGGTGGGTATCGGTCAGTCTAATTGTGGTACGTGAAGTGAGTGTTGAGTGTGTGTCGAGTGTCTGTTCTCTCCACTGTAAGAGCTGCTGATAACCTTTCTAACCTGTGTGAGAAGGACAGGAAACTCTTCACCCAATGGAATGCCACACACACACACGCACAAGCCTTTTTTCCCTCCTCACACACTCTGCTTTTGTGTCTTAAGAACAGAAGCAACTAGCTTTAATAAACATGCCCCAGATTTCCATTCTATGGTAATGTATAATGGATCCTCCCGTCATTACGTGAAAGTATTTCCTTATTTCTTTTCAGATGTAAACATGCGGACCATAAAAAAAAAACCAAAGCCCGACTGCCTTAATTTGTTTTCATGTAAATAGCCGTTGGTGTGGCTGGCTGTTTAGAGATGATGATAAAATGGTAATTAGCGTCTGCGAGTCGTTTAGTCATTTGTTTACATAGAAAGAATTCAAAGGAAACTCCCTGAGATTCGGCAACAGCCAAGTTCTCCTGGAAATTGGAAGCTTTTATGCGGGTCCTCGGCTGTGCTTTGATCTGACATGGTTTCCTTTGGAAACAAGCATCTCGGGGTGGGATTTGGATCCGGACTTGCCTATTCATTCTCATTAGAGTCACTTGTTGAAGATGCAAGAATGGAGCATCATATCGGTGCAAATGCAGTCGTCAAAAACCTTGAAGTCTCACCACCTTCGGATGATTTACACAGCGGAAAAGAGCACTTTCATTGGGGCTTTGAATAAACAGGAAGAGAGAGAGGCGAACAGGGTAGATGAATGAAGTGTAAACGAAGAGGATGGGTTTCTACTTGTAGGCAAGGTGATTTAGCGAATAAAGAAACCCAGGGAGAGTGTGGTTGAATCCACACCTGCTCCAGTAAATGCCAGCCGGTTCCCGAGGCTGCCAGCGAACCCACAGACATTTTCAGGAGAAGTGTATGCTTCTGTCAGCAAATGTCCTTAAGCGAGAGGTTATAGCGGCGCATTAAGCCAGTCATTCGCATCCCATGATGCATCCATGGCCTCTTTTCTGAACCATATAATTGACAGGTTTTTGCAGGTCTGCCCTGCCACAAACAAACACCAGCCTAAAAATATGAACACTTATTGTGTATGGGGCTCAGTATTTATAACGTTTTAAAATTTCGCTGATTCATCGAAAATAAAGTTAGCGCATAGGTCATTTTAAGAACATTTTATTGCTTTATAGTAATGTGTTTTGAAATAAATCTGGATGTTTGGTGATCAAAATAAAAAAAATACTTCTAAAAAAAAAAAAAAAAAGACAGTAGTTTACATACCAAAATAAAGCTTGCGTTAAAATAAAAGGAAAAAAAAAAGATTGATTCAATTTTTAATTAAGCACCATTCAACACTATAAACCGCAGTTGGTTCGCTTACTTTAAAAAGTGAGCAAATACGTTGCCTTAAAAGTGTCAGGTTTACTTTTAAAAGCTAGTAAACCTGTTGTAACATGCAACTGTTATGTTGATAAAACGTCATTTTTATTGATATCAACGTCCCAATTCGCATGCTTGTACTACGCCCCAAAAGTATGCACTTTTATGTGAAGGAAAAGTATAAACTTTTGAGTGTGTGACAGAAGAGTATGCAAGCTTTAGGACATACTACTTCCTCATTAACATCATTATGTACTTAGCCCTGTCAATCATCCACACATCCATACTTCTTTCATATTTCATTTATTAACTTATTGGAGAAGCAACAGCAGCAGGATAATCTGCCATTCACAAGTCTTTCATGCAGAGAAATCCCCTCAGGTCTTTGGATAATCATGCGTTCAGACGTTAATGTTCCAACACATCTTAATATAAGTTTACATTGTTGTTGCAGAAGAAATGTAACACGGGAACCATTATTTAAACGTCTTCCAGTGTGCTAGATTAACAATCATTCAAATATCTTTACTGAAGCGGTTGGTCTCGCTCGTCTGCCATGTTTGTAGTTTGTTTACACTTTTTACCCGAATTTGTAGCTCTAATCAAATTCATGTCCAATGTGCAATGTACTATGGGAAATATCAGCGGTAGAGTATGGACACTTTCCCAGAGATGGGTTGTGGCTGGAAGGGCATGCGCTGCGTAAAAACTTGCTGGATAAGTTGGCGGTTCATTCCGCTGTGGCGACCCCGGATAAATAAAGGGACTAAGCCAACAAGAAAATGAATGAATGAGTATGGACACTTACAGTATATACTTTAAAATAGTAAACCATCTGGGAATTTTTGGCATGCTCTTTTAAACATACTACAATTTGGGACATACTATTTCTATTTTCGAATACTATTTCAGACTGATAGTATGCAAATTGGGAAGCAGCGAATATCTGGACATTTATTAATACTTATTCATAATTAAAATTCAATTTGAGGAATTCATTTATTTGCCAGTGAATGTATGTTTTTTTACCGTAATGTCATTACATTCTCTCTCTTTTCCTCTTTCTACAGGTTTAGTGACGATAAGGGTTATGTCCTGTACCCTCAAATTGGTGATCGTCTGGATCTCATTTGCCCGTCTTCAGATCCGCCTGGCCCTCGTGCCCCTGCTGATTATGAGTACTATAAACTGTACCTGGTTTCGTCTCGGGAGCAGGCAGACAGGTGTGAAGTGACCGGAGCCCCGAACCTGCTTCTCACCTGCGATAAACCCAACAGCGACATGCGCTTCACCATCAAGTTTCAGGAGTACTCGCCAAACCTGTGGGGCCACGAGTTTAAGACCAACCACGACTACTTCATCATTGGTGAGTCCGTGCAAATGTGTGATGTGAATCAAAATGTTTAGATTATTCAAGCCTAGAGTTGATTTAGCTAACGCCCTTGTTTATTGTTTTAATCCATGTTAGAAGAGATGGAATGATTTCATTATCACGGTTTGGTTTGTTTAGCTTCAGACTACTCGGTGAAGTCACGATGGGATTTGGCTGATTGTGACTTTATCAAATGGAACAATCTCGCTCTGGGTCGAGTTACTAAGGGTTGTTTTTAAAACAGTGCACAGTAGCTTGATGGAAATGAGGGCAACAGAAGCCTGTCAACATCAACATTTCGAAAGTGGATTTGACGCTGGGGAAGTCCTGACACCCTTAGGCCCAAACATGTAATGGCCATGTTTTTAGTGCCAATTGCTAGTATTTATACAGTGATGGAAAACCTGGAATTTTAATTGATTTTCCAATCTGGCCAAGTCATTGGAAGTGTGATTAAAATCTTAAAAGTTATGGAAAAGCCCTATAACATTTAAGCGATTATATGCCTGACTCCCCATCAAAGCACTCTCAAATCTCAGGACTTTTTTTCTGACACATTTGTACCATAAAAGTGTAGTTCTAGAAACTTGAGGCCGTCATCTTACTTTCATAGTCTGGTATTGTTCCAAGATGCATATTCAGCTGGAAAAAATGTAGGACTGGACTCAATTTTATCCACCAGGAATTAATTGGATCACGAATTTGGACACAAGTGCAACTCTGGTGCTAGTGTGCACCAACAAATCATTCAGAATATAACCATGTGTCGTAGGAAAGAAAACCCAGTTACATTTTTTTGAATATACACTACCTTTCCAAGCTTTGTGGGTCAATATGATTGTTTAAAAATACATAATACAGTAAGAACCGGGGTATTATTTCAAATGAAAATGTCTTTTACATTTTAGCATATTTTAAAATGAGGTTATTGCATTTGATGAATTTTCAGCACAATGATTCAGTTTTTCAGTGTCACTGTGCTTCAGAAATCATTCTAAAAAAATCATCTGATGCTTAACAAACTACTCGTTACTAAACAAAGTGCATACACACCCTAGCAAAACCTGGTTGTTAATTTGCATTTTAAGTGCATAATCCTGATCTGTACACAGAGTTAAGTCATTTATAGGAGTGACCATCACATACAACAACCAAAAAACTCCCAAAAATTTTGATTCTACATGGTGTCTAGAGAAGGGAACTGAACACTGGTTGTTAGTGATGCATTTTTATGTGTCTCCCTTCTGTACATGCTTAATAATAAAAACCAGCTGCTCAGTGCAAGAATTAACAGGGAAAGTGGTGTGAGCTTTGACTTGTTTGTGTTGCCAGATTAGCAAACAAGTCCCATAATGAGCCGAAATGAACCAAAATGTTTTATATTAAGAATAAAATCGGGATATTGCTGTCAGCATCTTCCCACTATAATCCATAAACTTCATTCATTTATGAGCCATGCTCAAACAACAAGCCCAAAGACGCTTATAATAAGTGGACATGGCAGGACTTCAAGAGCTTGTTCTGTGAGGCTGATTTCCAAGCATAAACAAAACACGACACCTCTGTCATCTGTGCTTTAGTTCAAATTGCAGAACGTGTCTTGGGTTTGGTGCTGTAATATTAAATCGTCCCAAAATAGCAAATACCAGCTGATAGCGAACACCAAATATGTGAGCATCCTGAAAGTTATTTTAAATGTAATATTGTCAATCATTGCAAGTTTGCATTTACTTGCGTATTTATCAGTTTGTCTGGATTTACAGTTTATGCTTATGTGTTTGAGTAACTCATCCGCAAACTACTGATGACTTTTTTACTCTGTTGCCTGGCATTCAGTCTCTCTATAGCAGGTTAAGCAGAAGTGTACTATTTAATTTAGAAGTTATTTAACAAAGTGAATATCAGATAAAAATCAGAAATATCTGATCATCATCAAAGTTATTTAATTTGGTGGTCTTATTTAAAATGGCCATTTTTGTTTCTTGGGCAGAAAAGTGCAGCTCCTTTCTCTTTAAAAGGGTAAACACAATATTCTCCATACTGTTTGAATCAATGAAATCTAACAACGACCATATTTTAAATTTTGATTCCATCCATTCAAATCATTTCAAAGCTACAGTTTTTCAGGTTGATCAAGCTAATATTCACATGCACTCGAAGGGCATTAATTCACCACACCAAAATCATTTAAGGCTGTTCCTGGGGTACAATACAATAGAAAATGAAGACAACCAATAATTTTGTCAAACATGTAATATCAGTGTACAATATGGTAATTAAATACTGTATATAAAATTAGAAATCTCAACTTTGCTCTGTCAAAACATTGTACCTATCAAACAATAGATTCATAAGACCAAAAACTGGCCATTAGACATAGACAAGGTGAATTCTATAACACATTTAACAACTAGAGGGAGAGGAGATCCAGTGGCAGTTCTCAGATGGACTGGCTGATTTAAAGCTGCTCTGGGTGGGGTAGGAGAGCACGGAGCTCCCACTGACTGCCTGGAGCCCAGATGTCCGAATGTACTGACACAATTTTTTAAAGACTCCCTGTCTTTGTAAATAAACTGCCAATTTGAGTTTAAAACAAGTACATTCTCAGCTGAAAAACTCTTAAAACTTAATTTTGTGACACAACAGAGGAATTCTGTGCATTTTGTCCTCCCCCATTAACTTTCACTGGCTGGGTTGCAGTGCATACTACAGATACCTGTCTGTCACAATTTTGCGAGGTGAGTGGTATGTCTGAATGCATAGTATTAAAAAAACAATTAGCGAGAAGTGCCTGAATGACCTACTATTTCCATCGAGATCCTGAAGTGCGCCTCTAATGGACACTACACTATCCCATGATGCCATACGAGAGAATTCTTGAATGGGAATGAAGCGACGCAACTGACGCTTGGTAGGTCATGTGATAATGACTAATGGTGGATGTAGTACTTCATATTTATACTATATAATGGGCGATGGGTTGTGGTGTGGGGGTGATGGTTCATAGGTTACTCGGCAACCATTAACTGTTTTCTTAGAAAATGACAAAACATTGCTGTAACTCTGATACAAGTTTATTTATGGAAAAATTACAAAGCACTGCAATGTTTGGGTTTTCAGTGTTTGTCTGAGATAATTAGTCATCCGAAATGTGTGTATTCCATACAAGCTGAAGCTGATCGGTCAGCTCTTGTCATCTGACTCGCAGTGCTCTCATAGCATTCATTCAACTGGGTGCGTCTGGAAGGTGCAAGTCACGCACCTCCATTAAAAATTAAGAACTCTAGAAAAGACATGAATGACCCCTAGAAAGCCGTTGTCATTTGTGTTCTCCAGCAGTTGATCTTTCTGCACAGACAGGGTGGATTCACCTGATTTGTTGACAAATGGGTTGCAGATCCATTCCTTGGCAGTTTGCGGGTCTTCCACTGGGCGTTTTCCCCTTAGCATAGAAAATTTCCAAAGGCGTCAGTTTCTTACTCATTTTGCAGCTTGTGGGTTAAATATGGCCGCTCAAGTGACCGAGATGTAAGCGAGAGAATACGGCTATTTTTAATATAAAAAGATTTTTCTGAATAAAAGATCCTTCAAAGTCAGATAATAAATAAAATGGAAATAATTAATGATTTCTTGTACAGCCCAGTACCAATTGATCAACTGACCGGTACCAGTCCGCAGCCCGGAGGCTGAGGACCACTGATCTAGACCATACTTTTCTAATGATTATGTAGTAAATCAAAATGTAGTACATGCTTGAGTACACTGTAATCAATTCCCAGAATCTCACAACATGTTACTGTAATTTTTCAAAGTAAGTAACATTAGTATCACTTTACAGGATTTAACTGTTAAACTTTACATATTCAGAATTTTATTGTGCAATTAAGGCAGGCATCAGGATTACAAAAAATATCAGTAAAAATAGCTATATCTTTTGCACGTTAATTATAGGGATTTAAACACTATTAATATTTTATTCAACATAGAAATTGATACACACAAACCTTTATGCTAGTACAGGCACTTTTTTAATATTAAGAAATTTTTACAGAAGTATTGTTATTATGAAGTACTTCACAGTAATGTACCGTTAATTTATATACACTACCTAACCTTGAAAATAATGCAATTATTAGCCAGTAATTTACTGTAAATTTTGGATGCAGCCATAATACATTTGCTTTACATTTTATATTTGCATATTTTTGTATTACATTCCAAAGAGCTATGTTTACAACACCACCATAGAAAAATAAAACTGTATCAGTGCTGACTTGCCCACAATGGAACGTCTCAGCAAAAGGAAAGTGGTTTAAAATTAAAATAAATTGCAGTTTAGAACATTTGTACTAGATATGTGGAAATATGCCCAAGTTCTCTCCAAAACGCATAGAAACATACTTTTAGAAAAAACAAATCACGCACAAGTCATTGAATTTGTTTGGCTAAAAGTTTTGCGAGCCCTTTATGCCTCTAAAGCAAGAGAATGAAAGCGAGAGAGTGACGGAAAGGCTGGGAAAGGAATAATAGATGAAGACAGAAGAGAGTGAGTTGATGGCTTTATAGATGTGTGGGCTTTTCTTCCACCGGGGTCAGTTGTCAGTCAGATCATATTCATGCATTTTGAAGCCGGATAATGACGCGAACAGCATTTCAACTGCAGGAAGTGCTAAAAATCAGTCAGTTTTCAGGAGCCTGAGGTGATATTTTGAAATTGTCTTTATGATGTGTGTGTGTGTGTGTGTAAAGGTGTGGAGATGTGTTGTGTCTAATATTAGCAGTTGCAGGTTTTGCAGACGCTGTGTCTGTGAGATAAGGATCAAACTCTTTCCACTGGCTGCTTAATGGGCAAACAAGTGTGAGTTTGCCGGTATGTGAACGTCAGGGCTCTTCTGTATCCTGTTAAGCCTTAACGTAGGTGTCATTGACACACACACACACACACACACACACATGCTGCAGGCTTTATCATTGCTCCAACAGGCCCGACAAAT